AATGCTCTACTCTCACCTGATTGGTCTTTCTTTTCTGTTAGCTAGTCCCTATCCTGAGCGATTTTATTTGCATAAAACATCTTAGCCCCACCATGAATAGCAAAAACAGTCCTATCACTTGGGAAACTCCAAGGATTCAGAAGTTCCATCCCAAGAATAGGACAAAAGCCAGTCAAAAAATATTGGGGGGTGGGGGGAGGGCAGTACTGGTTTCTGCTTTATTTATTTTTCAGGTACAGTCTGGAGTTTTGGCCCTGCTGGCCACACGTTGAACTGTGATCCTACTTGTTTTTTTTTTTTTTTTTTTTTTTTTTTTTATTATTCATATGTTCATACAAGGCTTGGGTCCTTTCTCCCCCCTGCTCCCACCCCCTCTCTTACCACCCACTCCACCCCCTCCCCCTCTCTCCCACCTCCTCAATACCCAGCAGAAACTATATTGCCCTTATTTCTAATTTTGTTGTAGAGAGAGTATAAGCAATAATAGGAAGGAACAAGGGTTTTTGCTGGTTGAGATAAGGATAGTTATACAGGGCATTGACTCACATTGATTTCCTGTGCGTGGGTGTTACCTTCTAGGTTAATTCTTTTTGATCTAACCTTTTCTCTAGTACCTGTTCCCCTTTTCCTATTGGCCTCAGTTGCTTTAAGGTATCTGCTTTAGTTTCTCTGCGTTAAGGGCAACAAATGCTAGCTAGTTTTTTAGGTGTCTTACCTATCCTCACCCCTTCCTTGTGTGCTCTCGCTTTTATCATATGCTTATAGTCCAATCCCCTTGTTGTGTTTGCCCTTGATCTAATGTCCACATATGAGGGAGAACATACGATTTTTGGTCTTTTGGGCCAGGCTAACCTCACTCAGAATGATGTTCTCCAATTCCATCCATTTACCAGCGAATGATAACATTTCATTCTTCTTCATGGCTGCATAAAATTCCATTGTGTATAGATACCACATTTTCTTAATCCATTCGTCAGTGGTGGGGCATCTTGGCTGTTTCCATAACTTGGCTATTGTGAATAGTGCCGCAATAAACATGAGTGTGCAGGTGCCTGTGGAGTAACCTGTGTCACTGTCTTTTGCATATATCCCCAAGAGTGGTATTGCAGGATCAAATGGTAAATCAATGTTTAGCTTTTTAAGTAGCCTCCAAATTTTTTTCCAGAGTGGTTGTACTAGTTTACATTCCCACCAACAGTGTAAGAGGGTTCCTTTTTCCCCGCATCCTCGCCAACACCTGTTGTTGGTGGTGTTGCTGATGATGGCTATTCTAACAGGGGTGAGGTGGAATCTTAGTGTGGTTTTAATTTGCATTTCCTTTATTGCTAGAGATGGTGAGCATTTTTTCATGTGTTTTTGGCCATTTGAATTTCTTCTTTTGAGAAAGTTCTGTTTAGTTCACTTGCCCATTTCTTTATTGGTTCATTAGTTTTGGGAGAATTTAGTTTTTTAAGTTCCCTATATATTCTGGTTATCAGTCCTTTGTCTGATGTATAGTTGGCAAATATTTTCTCCCACTCTGTGGGTGTTCTCTTCAGTTTAGAGACCATTTCTTTTGATGAACAGAAGCTTTTTAGCTTTATGAGGTCCCATTTATCTATGCTATCTCTTAGTTGCTGTGCTGCTGGGGTTTCGTTGAGAAAGTTCTTACCTATACCTACTAACTCCAGAGTATTTCCTACTCTTTCCTGTATCAACTTTAGAGTTTGGGGTCTGATATTAAGATCCTTGATCCATTTTGAGTTAATCTTAGTATAGGGTGATATACATGGATCTAGTTTCAGTTTTTTGCAGACTGCTAACCAGTTTTCCCAGCAGTTTTTGTTGAAGAGGCTGCTATTTCTCCATCGTATATTTTTAGCTCCTTTGTCAAAGACAAGTTGGTTATAGTTGTGTGGCTTCATATCTGGGTCCTCTATTCTATTCCACTGGTCATCATGTCTGTTTTTGTGCCAGTACCATGCTGTTTTTATTGTTATTGCTTTGTAATATAGTTTGAAGTCAGGTATTATGATACCTCCTGCATTGTTCTTTTGACTGAGTATTGCCTTGGCTATTCGTGGCCTCTTGTGTTTCCATATAAATTTAACAGTAGGTTTTTCAATCACTTTAATGAATGTCATTGGAATTTTGATGGGAATTGCATTAAACATATAGATTACTTTTGGGAGTATCGACATTTTACTATGTTAATTCTACCAATCCATGAGCATGGGAGATCTCTCCACTTTCTATAGTTTACCTCAATCTCTTTCTTCAGAAGTGTATAGTTTTCCTTGTAAAGGTCTTTCACATCTTTTGTTAGGTTTACACCTAGGTATTTGATTTTCTGTGATCCTACTTGTGATCATATATATGCTCCACCACACCCAGTGTATTGACAGAGATGGGGTCTCCCTTAACTTTTTGTTTGGCCTGGCCTGGATCTGTGATCCTCCTGATATCTGTCTCCAAAGTAGCTGGGATTATAGCTGTGACCCACTATGTCTGGTCCTCAAATTCTTTCAGAATGGATCTGCCTTTGTAGCCCAGACTGGCCTCCAATTCACAGTCCTCCTGCCTCAGCCTTCCCAGATGCTGGGATTACAGGTACGCACTGCCACACTCACTCAGATGCCAAATTCTTTACTAAAAGACAGCTGACTATTCTAGGTTGGCAGAGTTTTTCTTTCCATAATTGAAAGATGTCACTCCACTGTCTTCTTGCATTTTTTCCTGTGAGAAATCTACTATACTTTCTTTGTTCCTCTATGTATAACTTAAAAGCCATGACTGCTTTTAATATTTTTCTTATTATTGTGAGTTTTAAGCAATTCTTTGTTTTTGAGTTTTGTTTCTAATTTTCAAGAGAGATTGTCTCAATGTAGCCCAGGCTGGTCTTGAACTTGCAATCCTCTGCCTCCTGAATGCTAGGATTTAGGCATGCATCACCATACTATAAACAATTTGATTATGGTATACTTTGCTTTTGCTTTAGTTCTTCTTTTCCTCCCATCCCCTCACTCCTTTCTCTCTCTTTCTCTTTTTCTCTCAGGATTAAACCTAGGATGTGTGCACATACACACACATGCTAGGCCAATGCTGTACCACTGAGCTATAATCCCCAGCCTCTCTCATTTTTGTACTTTGGGCTTTTGGAGATTCTTAGATATGTGGGCATATTTCCAAATTTGCAAAATTATTACATATTATTTCTTCAAATATTTCTTTTGTATCCACCATCTTCCCTCATTTGAAGTTATCTTACAGTTCAGTGATGTTCTGTTTATTTTTTTGCCACTCTTGGTGTTAGATATTTCTGATATGTGTGTTTATGTATCCCTAGCTTTATTATGAACACCAGGAAGATTCTTTGTAGCTCTGTGTATTTTACCCTATAACCTGCACCAGGCCTGGTCCTTGAAAGGCCAATCATTGTAGGACACTCTGTCCAAGGATCTCCTTATGGCTTTAGGTGGGTGGTTTTGGGGAACTCACAAAGAGCATATTGCATTAAATGGTAGGTATAGATAAGACATCCCTAAGAAAATCCAAAATACTCAAAATAAAAAAACTTTCTAAGCACTAATACGACATTTTCAAGTATTTAAGATAGTAGATGCTCAATCTGTCCTTGTTAATCTTTGAGATGACCTTGTCTTAGAAAAGAGAAAAGGCAGTGATATATCTGTCTGTCTATCTATCTGTCTACCTCACCATGCCCAGCTTAAGAAAAGGCCTTGATACTTTGAGAAGGCATGATCTGTATTAAGTACTGGCTAATGAAGTAACTGTTTGAGATAACTTCTCTTGCACCCTGGTAGTCTCTGTGAGCCAGCAGATGGGAATAGATCATAAGGGATAGATAATCCCAGAAAGAGAATATGGAAAACCATGAGTCACTAGACTTAGAGCAGATCTTCTAGATAATGGTGTACATTTTGTGTACCTGGGGCGAGAGGAAGCTGAGAATGCCTCTTCCTAATTAGTTCAAGTAATTATATATTAATGTAGTAATATGTTATATTACTAATATAGAGTTGCTACAGAGGGTAGTGAGCCAGAAAGACATTCAGTGCTATCCAGGCACTGTTGGATAGAGATCATGGGAAGTAATAGGGCAGCTTCATGGCCCCTTGGAATATCCATGCCCTGTTTAGGAAACAAATTGTCCAGGAGAAAGCCAGGTCACACTGAACTACCAGACTCCTGGTAGCTTCAATTCCTCATAGCCGATGTTGGTTCACAGAGGTGAGCACAGAAATGGGGAAGTGGGCAGGGATTTGGGGAGGGTTGGCACATTTCCTTTTGGGTAGACATATTGACAATTTCTGCTAAGTAGATCTTCCTAAGTCCCAGCACCAACTAGAAGATACAGCAGAGAAGTATGGCTTAAGGTTAGGCTCAAGAACTGCTGTGACTAGTATAAAAGTAAGCATATCGTTTTCTGCAAAGCTTCTGAGCTTTAAGTTAGCAAGTTACAAGGGGACATGTGAAAACTAATTATGGAGATGTCAGTAATTCTTATACCATGAGCAGGTTAGGCAATGCTTCACATGCTTGGGGGCCTTGAGCATGAACTTTTTAAAGGTACGCTGCTATCCTGAGTCCCCACCTGAGAACTTCTGTTTCTCCTTCATGTAGTCCCTTCAGTGCAGTATGTAGAGACAGATATGTAAGACTTCTCTTGTCCTGGAGAAATCTTTAAGCCTTTGGAAAGTTGAGTGAACCTGACAAGACAGATTGGAGCCTGAGGTGTTCTTAGGAGGGCAAGAAACAAGTACTTTGATGCTAGATCTAGAATAGATGTTTGAGAGACATGACTAGGCACAATGAGAGCAAGGAAGAAAACTCTAGGCTGCCAAACTTTTACAAAGAGAGAGTCAAACTGATAATGGGCCTGAGAAAAATAACCATATATACTGATTTCTGATGCTAGAGGAAGGTTTCTTGTCTGAAAGTCACATTAGCTCTCCTCAGAAGCAGACCTCACAGAGTTTCTTTTCCTTTCTCTATCACAGGTAACAGTCCTTTGGATAGCCCCCGGAATTTCTCTCCAAATGCACCTGCTCACTTTTCCTTTATTCCTGCCCGTAGGTAAGTTGTTGGAAAACCTCCTCTGTGACTAACACATGTGGCACTTTGCATGAATGTTAGTTGAAAGTCAGATTGGATCTTCAAGTCAGTGCCCTTTCAAATGAGTTGGGTTACCTTGAGCTGCTAGCCATCAAAACTCCTTCTCTATTTTTCTCTCCCAGAACATAATCACCTTGTTCAAGTTTTGCTTTCTAAATAGCCTGTATATTTGCAGTTGAATGTTGATCAGGAGAGCTGGTATAAGAAATGAATTTATTTTTATAATCCTAAGTACTCCTTGGTGTCCTAAGCATATGTTCCAAAGTGCTGTACCTCATTTGAGAGATTTCCTAGGATGATCAATGAAAAAATAGGCTGTCTTCCCAACCTATTTTTGGTACTACAGGACCCAAAGTAGTACTCTTACTGCTCTAACCCATTTAGTTCCAAGGGCTGGGAGGACCTGACATACCTTTCTTATCAGTTTTGAATTGGGGACCCAAGTGTGGGCATAGAAAGACTGTAGGGTCTTTACTTATCCTCCCCTGAATTTAGAAGGGTTTGATGCATCCCCAGCTATGCTTATATTCTTTCCCCTTTCCACATGGCTTTTTGGGTGGAGATACATTGACAATTTCTGCTAAGTAGGGCTTCCTAAGAAGACACAGCAGAGAAGTATGGCTTAAGGTTAGGCTCAAGAACTACTGTGACTAATATAAAAGTAAGCGCATCGTTTTATTCAAAGCTTCTGAGCTTTAAGTTAGCAAGTTTCAAATTACACTCTGAAAGTGATAAAAACCTGTCTCTGGCCTAAGGTAGCATCACCTGGCCTCTTGAGAAGTCCAAGCTGACAGAGTCCATCCAGACCTTCTGCCAAAAGCTCCACACATACACAGTTTCTTTTTTTTTGTTTCTTTCTCTCTCTCTCTCTCTCTCTCTCTTCTCTCTCTCTCTCTCTTTCTTTGCAGTACTGGGGTCTGAACTCACTTTGAGCCACTCCACCAGCCCTTTTTTGTGCCGGGTATTTTCGAGATAGGGTCTCCCAAACTGTTACCTGGGGCTGGCTTAGAACAGTGATCCTCCTGAGTAGCTAAGATTATAGGTATGAGCCCCCAGCACCCAGCAACACATAGTTTCTTTTCAGAAGTTTTTCTAAGATTTTTTGCTGGCAGAGTTCAAGTTGTTTTTTTTTTTTTTTTTTTCTTTAGCTTTAAATTTTTGCTTGGTTAGTCTTTAGTTCTAATATTTCCAGAAAATTATGGCTCTGGATTTGAATCTGTTCCTGGACAGAGAATATAATGTACATTGGGGCAAAAGCAGTTCTGATACTTAGACTACTTTTTAAAAAGATGAAAGAAACTTTTTACTCACTGTCCAGGTTACAACCCAGAAGAAATACATCCCATTTCTCTCCAGGAATCTGTGTAACTGAAAAGGACTTGGACAACAGGTGGGGAGATTTTTAATGGCTGACTTGGGTACTCCTCTTGTCCTTGTTTTGCCTTATTCAAAAGAAATCTCTAAAAGGGCTTCTGTTGAGAGTGACACATATACAGATCACACATGCTGTGTGCTGAATCAAACATAAAAAGAAATCTCATCCAAAATTCATCTCTTTTGTATAATTTCCAATGAGTTAACCTAGGGTTCAGGTAGGATGACTTACAGTATAAGAATATGCTGGATTGTTACATTTCTTTTTTCTAGTCCAACTGGAAAAACTTATCCCAAACTTCCTGCCTGGGCTTTGTATGAACTGTAACCTCAGATTAAGTATGATCTGGGAAAGCAGGACTTGTGACCAGATCCCCATTGGTGGCATTGGGTCATTTCCCATTCATTCAAAAAATATCTCCTGAAAACTGAGCCAGTCACTCTGCTGGGTGCTTAGTTATATAGTGGTAACAAAATAGACATAGTAGCTACTGTCTTGAAACTTACAGTCTTATTAGAGTCTATTCACTTGTTTCCTTTTTAAGGAAAGCTTTTCCCTCAGATCTTCGAGTAGTTAACTCATTCTTGTCATTCATGTTTCATCTTAAATGTTATCTCCTTAGAGAGAACTTGCCTAACCATACAATCTAAACATTCTCTATCAAATTGTCCAGCTTTATTTTAAGCTAGTACTTTCTAATACCTGATATTTTCTTATTTGCATGTTTTCTGTCTCATCTCAATCAGAATCAAATCATCTTTAATAGAGACACCTTAATCTGTTGAAAACTGTGCCTCCTGGTACATAACAAGCACTGAGTGGTTATTGATTAAATGAGGACAGGAAACAGATAATAAAAGAACAAGCAAACAAATACACAGTTGTAAACTGTGATTTAACACCATGAAGAGAAAGAATACGCTGCTGTGTGAAAGAATAGGAAGGGAGTGGGGCTGGAAAGTCTGCTCTGAGGAATGAGAAACAGCTGCCATGTTGGGCATGAGAAAACAGGCCTGGAGACTAATCTCGAAAGAGGGAAAGGCAGGTTCCATTGATGCCTTGGATCTGCTTCATTTAGGCTTCAGGAGTAGGACCAACTAAGGGGCTTTAGGGATGGGGGTATTGCCATTGACACCCAAACGGGTCTGTGCTAGGAGGCGTGACATTTGAGTCTTGTACATGGAACATGGGCCCCTAGACTATCCTCTTACTGTACATAGAAGGAAAAACTGCTAGTTATTGCTGGGATGGGGAAGAGTGCCTCAACCCTCCAAAGAAAATATCAGGAATTGTTGGTTCCTGTGTTGCTGATGTGGGGCTGGAGCCCTAAAGGATCATGTTGGTTTGGAATATCATACAAAAGGCAGCTTTAATTAAATGATAAGGAGAGACAAATTAATTATACAATTTCACTTCAAACTGTCACACATTCCTAAATAGAAGGTTTGCTGCTCCAAGCTAAACCAAATGCTTTGGATCAAACAGATTGCTCTTTCTGGTTCCCTTTGGTTCTCATTATAATGTATAATGTCTTTTCACTACAGCCATGGCCACAGAACAGACAGGTAATAGGGGATGTGATGGGGAGAGGGGTGGACCACTGCTATGCATGGCCAGACAATATGGCTTGTGACTTTGAGCTTGGTGAGAGTACTGGCTGTGATGATTCTGACTGTGGTTGTGAACATTGGACTTTTCATTTCTAGCAAAGAGGCACTGTGGGATACCCTACTTACCTGCTGGAACCAAGGCTCAGAGCTCATGTGTTTAGAGGCAGGATTTGCTGAATAATTCTAAGCTTGTTAGCCTAGGGCAAGTCACCCTCATTTGCACAACTTTCCTCAGGCTCTCAGTGAGGTGGCCAGACAGAAGAAATAGAGACATCCTATGATAGCATTTTGACTGACTCTGGTGACTCCTGCTCTTTAGTATACAGAGAAGTGACTGTAATGCAGTTGGTTTCCATTTTTATCTAAAGGATTGAAAATCATGAGGCTGATGGAGTGGCTCAAGTGGTAGAGCACCTACCTAGCAAGCATAGGCTCTGAGTTCAAACCTCAGTACCACCACCAAAAAAAAAAAAGATTGAAAATCACATATGAGAAAATGCATTTGACAGCCTGGTGCCATTGGCTAATACCTGTAATCCTAGCTACTTGGGAGACAGATTGGGAGGATCACAGTTTAAGGCCAGCCTGAGGAAATAGTTCCTGAGACCCCCATCTTCAAAATAACCAGAGCAAAATGGACTGGAGGTGTGACTCAAACAGTAGAGCGCCTACTTTGGAGGCACAAAGCCCTGAGTTCAAACCCGCCCTCCCCCAGCAAAACAAACGCATTTGACAAAGGCTAGGAAATTTATCCCAGAACTCATCTTTATTGGGCTCTGTTTTCCTGGAATTGAGCAGCTTTCTTATGTAGAGCACCGAGGACCCAGAAAGAACATCATGTTTAAGCACCTCCTGGACATTTCTTTGTCTCGGAGACTGAGTTCCAGCAGAGTTCTAAGTTATGTGTGCTGGTTGTCAGGTGGCATGAAGTTTATGTTATGTGCATGTAGCATGGAACCTCCAACTTTTCCCTTACAGAACACAATAGAAATGCTGCTCATCATGGGTGAGGGTGGGAAGGAGTGCTTGGTAGGGAGAAGCTCTGCCAAGATTTCTCCTTTCCCTCTCTTCCATGCCACATAAGCCCTTAAACAACTCATCCAAATCTCTGTTCTTAAGAGTTTTCTCTGTGAATTATAGTAAGAACTTAAGTTCTAAAGGTGCTACATTGCTGCTGTTTTAAAATTCTGTAGTAGTAGCAAAGACATTTTTATCCAACTTCAACCTGAGCATGCTATACCACCAAGCTCCAAGAGAAAGAATGCTTTATGCTACATCCCACAGTCCAGGCAAAGAACTACATGTCCATGTTACAGAAACTTCAAATCCGATACCTGTTTAATCTTTTTTACTACAAAACTGTGGTTTTTTGTGATGAGAGCCTTTTGGGGGAGGGGGGCGGGCAGCAGAGGATATTGTTTTGAGAGCAGCAGGAAGCCACCCCCAAAGTCTGATATGCATCCAAAGATATGTCCCCTCCCTCCTCTTTCATAGGTTTACTGTTACTCTTTGGCAAACATTCTCAAAGACTGGTTTTATGAATCCTAAGCAACCTGTAACTGTTTGGCATTGATTGATGTTTAGTTTAGATCCAGATGGTAGTCTGCCTCTTCTTGATTGTCAGTGGCAACAGAAGGACGAAAGAGCCCTTCACATTGAGCCTTTAGAAAAGGCAATAAAATGCTGGGCATGATGTTATATACCTGTAATCCCAGTACTCAGGAAGCTGAGTCAGGAGGATCAAAAGGTCAAAGCCAGTCTGGGCAACATAGTGAGGCCTCATTGGAAGGAAGGGAGGGGAGAAGAGGAGGGAGAAGGAAGAAAGGAAAGAAGAAAAGTCAGGCACAGTAGCCCCAGCTACTCAAGAGGATCACTTGGGCCCAGGAGCTGAAGGCCAGCCTGCAACATAGGGAGACTCTGTTCAAAAAAAGAAAACAACTGCATTTCAGTGGAAATTCTGGTCTTGTTCTGAGTACTTTAGCTAGAGTCCTCTGTCATTACTTCTCTGAAAGTGAAAACAGTTGGAAATATTAAAATACTTATTCCAAACCACAGTATAACATAACATATGTTTTTATTCAAAGTCATGGACTCCATGTAAGTGGTGTCTGTTTCTGCAGTGGAAATCACACAGTAGGCCTCATGTAGGAGAGACATGGGAGTACATCTGGACCAAACAGTACTATTTTGAGAAGAGGAGCACCCTAGTGAATCAACTGCCCAAAAATGCTGATAGAAGCAGGCAGGTCCTGGGCTTAGGGTGAGGACTGTGGGAAGTGCCTAATAATCTTTTTCTTACATAGGACTGATGGACGCCGCTGGTCTTTGGCCTCTTTGCCTTCTTCAGGCTATGGAACCAACACTCCTAGCTCCACTGTCTCAGTAAGTAGCCAGATGTGTGGTCATTACTCCTTCACTCCGAGGTAATACTTCCCTACAGATTATTGCTCTCCACCCAGGGTTGAAAACTGGCTCTCATCTTTTCCTCCAAATTCAGTGAGATTGCTTGAGGATAGGGCTGAGTGGGGCAAAGGATTGGTATCCCCGTACAGCTATAGACAGATCCATACTGCCTTGGGAAGGATTAACTAGTTCCTTCTCTGGGTACTAGTTCTTCCTAGTGGAGTTGGAGAAGGGCTTGAGAATTGACTTTGACTCTGCCTGTGAGGCTAGGCATGGGGGCTTCAAAGCAGTTTCCTTCTTCCCCCCAACTTTATTTCTAGAACTGCAACCAAGAGCAGATCACCCTCCCATGTCCCAAAAAAATGTGGTAGACCCTCTTCCTCCTTTTCTTTACTTTTTCCTTTCAGAAAGGCAGAGGGAAGAGTGATTGTTATTTGATATCCAAGTTTGATGTGTATCAGCAAAAGCCTGGGCCTATCTCTAAAACTTGTATTTCTTTCAGAGAAGGTTTTAGCCTAAAATACAACAGATGTGTTAATTGCTGCTATCTAGAATTGACCCTAAAATGAGCCCTCCTCTTTGAGCAGCTTGTTATTAAAGTCAGGATGACAGGGTTGGCAAACTTTTTCTATAAAGAGCCATATAGTAAATGTTGTAGGATTTGCAGGTCATAGACTTGATGACCATGTCCCCATTTCTTCTCCTAAGCTTCAGGTCTTCCTTGGTTGGTTTGTATTTGTGAATCCCAAGGAGAGAAAATTAGTATCATTTATTCCCTTTACCTAAATACTACTCTTAAATTTATCCAAAAGTCTCATTGGTCTTTGGCAGATAAGCTTAAGATCTTTCCCTAATAAATACCCCTTTCCCATACTCCTGTAATCAAGTGATAATTTAAAAACCCAGGGTAAGAGTCTTATATATTTTTGTGTGTGTATGTATATATTTCTGTTTAGTAAATTTTTATGGTCTCACTATGTAGTCCAGGTTGATCTCAGACCCTCAGTCCTTCTGCCTCAGCCTCTGGAGTACTGGGATTACTGGTATATACCACTATGGCCAGCTATTGGAATACTTTAAAATACCAGTTTTTCCCACCATAATTTACATGTTCCACTAGCTTCATGTTAGCTGCAGTTGGATTCTGTTTCAGCTTTGATCAAAATCACTTATAAAAATGAGCCCTGTGGAGTCCTCACACTGGCTTTACAATTCCATGGATTATAACATTCCATGAGAGAGGTATACAGTGTTAGCCCAAAGAGTGCTTATTTCTTCTCACTTTGGTGACCTTATGGCACTAGAGTTTCCTCTGTGTGCTGCTGCAGTTTTGACTCTAAATGGATTTAGATGGTTGAACCTCAGGACCTTGGTTGGTTAATTAATGAGAATTTAGGTCAGTGGTGTTAGACTTACCTGATCTCTTAGCCAGTCTTGTTGGGTAAAGGGGGAGCATCCTGATCCTGGAGCTGCATAGGTTATAAGAGCAGCAACTACATCTGTGGGATTACCTACAGTGGTCCCAGCTTGCTCCCTCAAATGGTCTGCTATAATTGGCAGGCTCTTGTCAGAAATTCTCAGATATTGAGCCATGTTTAGAATTCGTGATTATTTTCAGATCAGGTCTAATCTTTAGGTCTAGAAAAGAAAGTAATTTTCTTCCCTGTTGGATTTTCTGAGCTTGTGGTGTCCTGAACCATACCGTCCTAGCATCAGCAAAGCCAGTCCTCTGGATAACAGCCAAAAGGAAACATTACTGAGCTATCCCTGGAGTGGTGCTCTCAAGGTTGTAAAAGGGAAAACCAGGGGATGTCATTTGCATCTGGGCATTCCTGGAATAGTTCCTGAGCCAGGAAGCATAATTAATTACTTACCATTTCAACTAGCCAGAAGCTTTATTGAAAGCAAAAGGTCCATACACAAGAATCTCAAGTGGCTCCTATGAGTTCTCAAACCTCATGAAGATCTGGGTCTAGCTCCCGACATGATATCCATTGGCTTCCTCAGGGCTCTAGGCTCTGCAAAGCTCCTGGTAAACAAGATCATTCCCAAACTGGACTGGAGGGAGTCAGGAAAGAGGACTTACTTTGAGTTTATGTTTAACTAAGAAGTCCCTGAGTAGTTTCAGTCCTTCTCTGTTCTCTGATTGTCCTTGCACATGTCTTTAATTCCGTTTTTATGTTTTACACTCTAGTCATCATGTTCCTCACAAGAAAAGCTGCATCAGTTGCCTTTCCAACCTACAGCTGATGAACTGCACTTTCTGACAAAGCATTTCAGTACAGAGAGTGTACCAGATGAGGAAGGACGACAGTCCCCAACCATGCGGCCCCGCTCCCGTAGCCTCAGGTAAGGGATGGTCTTTCCCACTCTCTCTGTACCTGTGGGCCACAACTTATCTGCATAGTACAGGGGTCAGTGGATGTATCATGTAAATGGCTAAAAAAGTAAATATTTCAAAACTACTTAACTCTGCCACTGTGGGCCAGATTTGATCTTCAGGCCATAGTTTGCCAACTCTTCAAGTACATTGACCAATTTGAGTAAGTCAAGTTCAGTGATGTTCAAGCCCCTTTTGCATCTGGGCATTCCTGGAATAGTTCCTAAGCCAGGAAGCATGATTACTTACCATTCCAGTTATCCAGAAGCTTTATTGAAGGCAAAAGGTCCATGCAGAAGAATCTCAAGTGGCTCCTAGGTGTTAGGAGTTCTCATACCTCATCAAGGTCTAGGTCCAGCTCCCAACATGATAGTCATCGATATCCATTCAGCTTCAGTTCAGACCATCACCCCAAGAGCTGTCTGATAGTTCTGTCAAGTGGTCTCTTTTTTCCTTCAAACTCCATTCAGAAAAGGAGAGTAATGGTATCATCAGTTCTGATGGGTACCTGGCTACAGAACTGTGGGCCCAGGGCACTTGAATTAGGCCAATTGGAAAAGCTGCTGCTGTAGACAAGTGGCTGACTTGGGAAGAACCCTAATTCAAAAGCAGAATTAAATGCCTACCTGAATCTTATCTCAATTCCTTGAATCACCTGAGCCTACCTTCATCAAACCAAATCAAATCAAATCTGTGAATTCTTTTGGGGGGGATGTTTGTGTGTTTATTTTGGTGCTAGGGATCAGGGCCATGCACATACTAGGCATGTGCTCTACCACGGAACCATACTGCCAGCCAAATGTCTCTAATTGTCCATTCTCTTTGGCATTAGCTGGTAAATCTTTGCCAATATTCCAGATTAAGGAAGAGGATAGAGATGAAAATGAACATGGTTTTAATGACTTGAGTTCAGTTTTAAAGGGTCACTGGAAAAAATTTGATTAATATGCAGGATTGGGTCCCAGAGGAATGGTGCCTCTCAGGAAGAATCCCCTCAGGTAATGTTGGTACTGTCAGTGACAGGGAGTGAGCTGGGCCAGGTTATGCAGACTGATTTAGTTTATGTGTGAGACTTAAGTACAATGGAGATTACTGAGGCTTAAGTACAATGGATCAAGAATATAATGAGTGAGTGTGAATCTTAGTACTTTTCTTGATCTATAAGAAAAACACCTGAATATTTGTGGATTCAGCAATTCACACAGCTTGAAGAATGCCTTTTAGCCCAGTTGAAGTCCCTAGACAGAACAGACCCCATTCCAGGGAAAGAAGATTAGAGGAACAGTTCTGAGCCTAGCCTAGCTGAAATCACATGTATAGGGGCACTAAACTAGGCAGGACCCATATCCATTCAGTTGTGTAGATCAAAATTTGAAATGTTTAAGGAGATATAACCACACATGGGCCAGAGGAGAGGATGCAGGTTACTATAAGTTAAGGTTGAAAACATATTGGCTTCCTTTAATAAATGACCCAGACTTGATTGGCCTCACCCCCAGGTGAGAGCCAGGTTATTCCACTGGCTGCAGCTAGTTTGGAAAAGGAAATAGGTGTATATATTCTTCCTTTGGTTGCTTTGGAAATTGTTTGATTTGATTTCTACATTATGCTGGGGTATATCAAATCTCACTGAATTTTGTCCTACAAAGATTCAGAAAAAAGTCATGTTCTGAGGAAGGTCATCGTAGGAAAGCCACCAGTGGGTTCACAAATAGGCCCCTCCTTTCTCAGCCTTTTCAAGCTGTAGCAGAGACCAAACTCCTTGCAGGAAGGTAGCCTACTTCTAGGAATAAGGACTAAAATAATAAATATTTTAGGCTTTGCATGCCATACACCTCTGTTATAATTACTTAACTCTGCTAGAAGTTTTATTTATTTAAAAAAGAAAAAAGAATAGTGGTCCAGATTTGATCTACAGACTGTAGTTTGCCAAACACATTGATCATTGGCCTCATGAATGTAGAACTAAATGGGAGTACTGAAAACAGTGGGAGAATAAGGGCTTGAAGGGTGGCCATTTTTCTCCTTGATAGTTTCATAGCACTAAAGTAACACAATTATTTCTTTTTTATTCAGTCCTGGACGGTCCCCAGTTTCCTTTGACAGTGAAATAATAATGATGAATCATGTATACAAAGAAAGATTCCCCAAGGTAAGGATCTGTTTAACAGGAGATGGTAATGCATGAGGATGACTGCTTATAGCTAGTCCAGTGGGCCCTATGGAGTGGGGGGTGAAGTGCTGCCAAAAAGAAGAGTGGAGATAACCAAAAGAACAGAAAGGCACACCACAGATGAGGAGAACGTAAGCATGAGGGCTTCCAAACTGTGGGAGAAGCAGGAGGCAGCAGGAACTATGAGTTTGTGGGCTTTACTTGCAAAGCCTCTGTTTCTCCACTCCCCAGAGGGAAGTAACTAGAAAAGAATATCAGAAAGGTATCCCATGATGTGTAAAAGGAGAAGGAAAGAACTGGAAGCTTGTCTTCTCACTGTGCATGTCAGTATCCATGACCCTGGGTTCCCCCATGACAGGATATGCTCTATGGTTGATTACACTTTCATTTGGTACATATTTCTTAAGCAGCACCACAGAGAGTACATAGTCAAAGGTGTGCTGGGCTGGCATGAAAAAAGCCAGGGGGCAGAAGTAAGAAACACGTTTCAGAGTTGCTTACTTACAATTGGATTTGCATTTTAATGAGGAAAAGGCTGAGGAAGGAAGCTAGGTATACTAAGAAATAGTATTCACACTTCTAGTATAAACCTCCTTCAAAATCTGGACCTTGATTTGCTTTTCTTTTTTCTTTTTCTTTTTCTATTTTTGGCAGTACTGAGGTTTGAACTCAGAACCTGACACTTGCTAGACAGGCACTCTACTGATTGAGACATTCTGCCCGCCCTTTTTTGTGTTGAGTATTTTTGAGATAGGGTCTCACAAACTATCTCCTGAGCTGGCTTTGAACCATGATCCTTCAGATCTCTGCCTCCTGAGTATCTAGGGTTACAGGTATGAGCCACTGGTGCCTGGTGGTATTTGCATTTCTGATTAAGCACTACATGTTGTGTGCTCTGACCTGGGCTTATATGGATAGGCCCTGTTCCTGCAGAAAGCAGCTAGCACCATCTGAGAGAGAATTGTGGACTAATGTCCATGTTAGGAGGCTAAGGTGCTGGAGCCTTGGTGGTTTTTTTTTTTTTTGGGGGGGGGGGGGGGGTGGTATGAAACTGGGATTTGAACTCAGGGCCTTGTACTTGCCAGGCTGGTGCTCTACCACTTGAGCCACACCCCTAGTCCTTTTTTTGCTTTAGTTATTTTTCAGATAGGTGTTTTTGCCTGGGGTCAGCCTCAGACTTCAGTCTTCTGACTTACTCCTGCCACATAGCTAGGATCTTAAGCCCATGCCACCAGGTCTGGCTTGTTGGGTCTCACTAACTTTTTGCCTGGGCTGGCCTCGAACTGTGCTTCCAGTCTCTACTTCCTGAGTAGCTTTGGTTATAGGTGTGCACCACCATGCCCAGCCTCAAGCCTCATTCTTCATTCTCTATCCAGACCTCCCTGGGTCTGTCTCTGGGGTGTGTAATTCTTGTTCCTTTCAGAGGCCCTTCTCCTAAACTAAAGTAAAATCTCCTTCACACATACAGTGACTGAGTAATATGATATAATAATGTCCTTGAGTTTTTCCCATTTGATATACATAGTGAAGCATAGTCAACAAGAAGCCAAACTGAGTTCAAATCCATTCCTACCATTTACTAGCTGTAGGACAGGTTATTTATCTTTGCTGAGCTTTACTTGCCTCATCTATAATTCAGAATAATAGAACATCGTTCTCAAAGGGAATTTGTGAAGATCAGTGAATATTTAGCTCTTCTAACAGCACCCAGGACATAGTAAGCACTCAGTGAGTGTTAGCTATTATTTCTCTGTTTAATCTGTGTCTTATCATTAATGCTTTCTATCCTTGGAGTGAACACTAGAGAAGAAGAGCAAAGAAGGGACAGAAAAAAATAGGAAGTCATGTCATTGTGCCTTTTTTTTTTAATTTTATCATTTTTACATTTATTTACATGTATAGCCAATATTTGGGTCACCTCCCTACTTCTAGGCAATCATACTTTATAATGAAGTTACATAGTGTATAGTGTTCAGAAATATATCTCACATGTTTCCTCCTCATCATATGATAGGTATTGTGTTGACATTCTAGTACTGTATATTGATTTTAGGCTTATCTTTAGTCCTTCACATACGATGAGCTACTAGCTATTAGAGAAAACGTGTTAAAATTCCTTTCCTTCCTTCTCTCTCTGCTGCCTCTACTCTCTGTATCTCCTTTTACAAGCACACACACACACACACACACACACGCCTAAACATACTGAAAATCAGAAATTACCACTCAGTGGCAAAGGAAAAAAGAGTCCTAGAAAAGCAGCCATGAACTGGTTCACTGATGTGTATTTGTAATTTTGACAAGACTGTATAGCAGTTAGGTCCCTAAGAGAACTCTGAGCTAAACCTCTATTCTGCTCTGCTGGGGATCGAGACCAGGGTTATATATTCCCATCCACAGTCACCCATTCCAACTTGGCTTCGGAGACCAGGCAAATTCACATCTTTAATAAATTCTTGTCTGAATGCCTGCCTAGCTGTTTTCAACAAATCTTCTGGTATGCAGGTTCTCAGGTTAATTAAGAGAACCCTGAGATAATAAAACTCTTTCTGACTTGCAGAACTTCATAGTACAGAGAAAGGTTTTGAAAGCGGCAATGTCTGTATGCTAAGTGTATCCAGTGGAGACCCAGTGGAAATACTGAGGAAAGGGAACCCTCATTTCCAGGGGAGTAAAAGACTTCCTCGAGGAGAGACAGTGCTTCAGTGAGATGAAGGAATAACGATCATCTGAGGAAGACCTGGCAGGGTGAGAAAGTCATGCTTAGGGAACAGCATAAACCAAGAGCTCTGAAATAGTGTGGTATAGGAGAACAGCAAACTTTTGGTGTCCATAGAATAATAGAGTTTGTGCTTCAAGGAGTGGTGGGAGACAGGCAAAGCCAGTCGATAGAGGAAAGTAGTGCTGGGGCATTCTGATTTAACTTGAAAAAATGATCTCTTCATGTATTCCATCATCAGATTTCCCAAATGCAATGTCAGGAAGCAAGGCACACAGCCAGTCAGTCTATCCTTAGGGTATTGCCAAGTCCTTCAGGTTTAGCTACAGCTGAGCTAGGATCAGAAGGGAAGTGTCAACTTTTCCTGTTTTTATTCCCAGGCCACCGCACAAATGGAAGAGCGACTAGCAGAGTTCATTTCCTCCAACACTCCAGATAGTGTGTTGCCCTTGGCAGATGGAGCCCTGAGTTTTATTCATCATCAGGTGATTGAAATGGCCCGAGACTGCCTGGATAAATCTCGTAGTGGCCTCATTACATCACACTACTTCTATGAACTTCAAGAGAATTTGGAGAAACTTCTGCAAGATGTGAGTGTCTTGATGCAGTGGCTGTGGAGAAACTTCCATATGGTAGTCTCAGGCCTAGGCCAGGAATTAGCAGTGTTCCCAGACTTTCCACCTGCTGATCACCACCAGATTTCCTTGCCAGTGTGCAGGAACCATCTCCAACTGTGGTGCTGATAGCCTTAGATCCCTGCCCAGTTCCCTGAATCACTGAGAGAAGCCTGCTTAAGTATCAAAGGAATTTGGTTATATGAATCCTTCTTTTTATAAATCCAAAGCTTTATTACTCTGTCTGAGACTTCAACATTGATAATAAGGCAAAAAGTGGCCCCAATTGATATTCTGGGCTCTCTTCTGCTAGAAATAGTTGACTTAAGCCAGCATCTTTTCAGCCCAGGGGAAGTAGGGCCCAGGGCTTACCCTGTGGATTTATCCATTTGCTGATGTTCAGTCAGCATGGTAAGTTCTCTAGTGCAAACTTTTATGTGTAGAGACATGATCCTCTGTAGTGTAAAAAAAAAATCTCTGGAAGGCTAAAGACAAAGTAATCTGGGAATAGCCAAGACCAAAGCAAACATTGAGTTCTTAATTGCTGCCTCATGTTCCAGTCTCTAATCTGAGAAGCCTACAGCAAAACAAGACTAAAGCATGAGGCAGTGGTTGAGGACTCATTGTATGCTGGGTGGCTCATGCCTGTAATCTAGGTACTCAGGAGGCAGAGATCAGGAGGATTGCAGTTCAAAGCCAACTGAGGGCAAATAGTTTGTGAGACCCTATCTTGAAAAAACCCATTACAAAAGAGGGCTGGAGGAGTGGCTCAAGGTGTAGGCCCTGAGTTCAAACCTCAGTATCACAAAAGAAACACAAAAACTCATTGTATGAGGCAGGTGGATTGCAAGTTTGAGGCCATCCTGGACTACCTAGTGAGAGACTATCTTTAAAAAAGAAGAAGAGACGAAATAGTTTTCTGACATTTCTTTCCAGCAATAGATGGGATGTCCCAGAGACATTAAGGAATCAGGGGGGATTGCTCTGTGAGGTAAAGAATTAAAGTTGAATAACTTACAAGGTTCCTTTCTTTATTATTTTTTTTAAGATAGGTGTCACACTAAGTTGCCTACCCTGATCTTAAATTGTTGGGCTCAACCAATCCTCTCTTTTTATTACTTGGGACTGCAGGTGTGCACCATGAGAGTTCCTTTTGTATCTAAGATTGATCTTCTAAAACGCTAAAGTCAGAATCTTGCCTAAAACATTCAGGTCTTTTCTTAAACTGACTGCCCCTGGAGTTAAGTAGTTGATGGAGAAGGGAGAACACTGAATTTGGAGCCAGTTTGTCCCTCTGTTCCCTGAGTTATTAGGTCCTCATAATGCAGAACAAAAATTTCAGTGAAGGTTCTATCTCAGGGAATTTATTGACTTGTGGTTACAGACTGTACCTTGTGCCAGATACTATACAGTGTTTCTTTTTGTTTTTTTTTTTTAATTTTTTTTTATTCATATGTGCATACAATGTTTGGGTCATATCTCCCCCATTCCCCCCGCCCCCTCCCTTAACCGCCCCCCCTGCTCCCTCCCTTACCCCGCCTTACCCCTCGCTACCCTGCAGAAACTATTCTGCCCTTATCTCTAATTTTGTTGAAGAGAGAGTATAAGCAATAATAGGAAAGACCAAGGGTTTTTGCTAGTTGAGATAGGATAGCTATACAGGGAGTTGACTTGCATTGATTTCCTGTGCATGTGTGTTACCTTCAAAGTTAATTCTTCTCGAACTAACCTTTTCTCTAGTTCCTGGTTCCCTTCTCCTATTGGCCTCGGTTAAAGTATCTGCTTTAGATTCTCTGCATTGAGGGCAACAAATTCTATCTAGTTTTTTAGGTGTCTTACCTATCCTCATACCTCCTTTTGTGTGCTCTCGCTTTATCATGTGATCAAAGTCCAATCCCCTTTTGTGTTTGCTCTTGATCTAATGTCCACATATGAGGGAGAACATACGATTTTTGGTCTTTTGGGCCAGGCTAACCTCACTCAGAATGATGTTCTCCAATTCCATCCATTTACCTGTGAATGATAACATTTCGTTTTTCTTCATGGCTGCATAAAATTCCATTGTATATAAATACCATATTTTCTTAATCCATTCATCAGTGGTGGAACATCTTGGCTGTTTCCATAACTTAGCTATTGTGAATAGTGCTGCAATAAACATGGGTGTGTAGGTGCCTCTGGAGTAACCTGTGTCATATTCTTTTGGTTATATCCCCAAGAGTGGTATTGCTGGATTATATGGTAGATCAATGTTTAGATTTTTAAGAAGCCTCCAAATTTTTTTCCACAGTGGTTATACTAGTTTACATTCCCACCAGCAGTGTAAGAGCGTTCATTTTTCCCCACATCCTCGCCAACACCTGTTGTTAGTGGTGTTGCTAATGATGGCTATTCTAACAGGGGTGAAGTAGAATCTTAGTGTGGTTTTAATTTGCATTTCCTTTATGGCTAGAGATGGTGAGCATTTTTTCATGTGTTTTTTGGCCATTTGAATTTCTTCTTTTGAGAAAGTTCTGTTTAGTTCACTTGCCCATTTCTTTATTGGTTCATTAATTTTGGGAGAATTTAGTTTTTTAAGTTCCCTATATATTCTGGTTATCAGTCCTTTGTCTGATGTGTAGCTGGCAAATATTTTCTCCCACTCTGTGGGTGTTCTCTTCAGTTTAGAGACCATTTCTTTTGTTGAGCAGAAGCTTTTTAGTTTTATGAGTCCCATTTATCTATGCTATCTCTTAGTTGCTGTGCTGCTGGGGTTTCATTGAGAAAGTTCTTACCTATACCTATTAATTCCAGAGTATTTCCTACTCTTTCCTGTACCAACTTTAGAGTTTGGGTCTGATATTAAGATCCTTGATCCATTTTGAGTTAATCTTGGTATAGGGTGATATACATGGATCTAGTTTCAGTTTTTTGCAGACTGCTAACCAGTTTTCCCAGCAGTTTTTGTTGAAGAGGCTGCTTTTTCTCCATCGTATATTTTTAGCGCCTTTGTCAAAGACAAGTTGGTTATAGTTGTGTGGCTTCATATCTGGGTCCTCTATTCTGTTCCACTGGTCTTCATGTCTGTTTTTGTGCCAGTACCATGCTGTTTTTATTGTTATTGCTTTGTAATATAGTTTGAAGTCGGTATTGTGATACCTCCAGCATTGTTCTTTTGACTGAGTATTGCCTTGGCTATTCGTGGCCTCTTGTGTTTCCATATAATTTAAGTAGATTTTTCAATCTCTTTAATGAATGTCATTGGAATTTTGATGGGAATTGCATTAAACATGTAGATTACTTTTGGGAGTATAGACATTTTTACTATGTTGATTCTACCAATCCATGAGCATGGGAGATCTCTCCACTTTCTATAGTCTTCCTCAATCTCTTTCTTCAGAAGTTTATAGTTTTCCTTGTAGAGGTCCTTCACATCCTTTAAGTTTACACCTAGGTATTTGAGTTTTTTTGAGGCTATTGTAAATGGAATTGTTTTCATATTCTTTCTCAGTTTGTTCATTATTAGTGTATAGAAATGCTAATGATTTTTCTATGTTGATTTTATATCCTGCTACCTTGCTATAGCTATTGATGGTGTCTAGAGCTTTGAGTAGAGTTTTTTGGGTCTTTAAGGTATAGGATCATGTCGTCTGCAAATAGGGATATTTTGACAGTTTCTTTACCTACTTGTATTCCTTTTATTCCTTCTTGCTGCCTAATTGCTCTGGCTAGGAATTCCAGTACTATGTTGAATAGGAGTGGAGATAGTGGGCATCCTTGTCTAGTTCCTGATTTTAGAGGGAATGGTTTCAGTTTTTCTGTTAAGTATAATGCTGGCTGTAGGTTTGTCATATATAGCTTTTATAATGTTGAGGTACTTTCCTTCTATTCCTAGTTTTCTTAGAGCTTTTATCATGAAATGGTGTTGGATCTTATCAAAGGCTTTTTCTGCATCTATTGAGATGATCAAGTGGTTTTTGTCTTTGCTTCTGTTAATGTGGTTTATTACGTTTATTGATTTTCGTATGTTGAACCACCCTGCATTCCTGGGATGAAGCCTACTTGGTCGTGGTGAATGATCTTTTTGATGTGTTGTTGAATTCGGTTTGCCATTATTTTATTGAGGATTTTTGCATCAATGTTCATTAAGGAGATTGGCCTATAGTTCTCCTTTTTGGAGGTGTCTTTGCCTGGTTTTGGGATAAGTGTAATACTGGCTTCATAAAATGTGTTAGGCAGTTTTCCTTCCCTTTCTATTTCATGGAACAGTTTAAGGAGGGTTGGTATCAGTTCTTCTTTAAAGGTCTGATAGAATTCAGCAGAGAATCCATCAGGTCCTGGACTTTTCTTTTTGGGGAGACTCTTGATTGCTGCTTCAATTTCATTTTGTGTTATAGATCTATTCAGGTGATTAATATCCTCTTGGTTCAGTTTTGGATGATCATATGTATCTAGAAATCTGTCCATTTCTTTAAGATTTTCAAATTTATTTGAATATAGGTTCTCAAAGTAGTCTCTGATGATTTCCTGGACTTCCATGGTGTTTGTTGTTATCTCCCCTTTTGCATTCCTGATTCTACTAATTGGGTTTTTTCTCTCCTCATTTTAGTCAGGTTTGCCAGGGGTCTGTCGATCTTGTTTATTTTTTCAAAGAACCAACTTTTTGTTTCATTAATTCTTTGTATGGTTTTTTTGGTTTCTATTTCATTGATTTCAGCTCTTATTTTTATTATTTCTCTCCTTCTATTTGTTTTGGGATTTGCTTGTTCTTGTTTTTCTAGGAGTTTGAGATGTATCATTAGGTCATTGATTTGGGATCTTTCAGTCTTTTAATATATGCACTCGTGGCTATAAACTTTCCTCTCAGGACTGCCTTTGCTGTGTCCCATAGGTTCCGTTAGGTTGTGTTTTCATTTTCATTGACTTCCAGGAACTTTTTAATTTCCTCTTTTATTTCATTAATGACCCAGTGTTCATTAAGCATTCAGTTATTCAGT